GGTTGTTGGTGATTCAGTTGTAGTTGTTTGCGCTTCAGTTGTGGTTGTTGGTGATTTGGTTGAAGTTGTTGGCGATTCAGTGGTAGTTGTTGGCGATTCCGTGGTTGTTGTTGGTGATTTGGTTGTGGTTGTTTGTGATTCACTTGTGGTTGTTGGTGATTCAATCGTGGATGATGGTGATTTAGTTGAGGTTGTTGGTGACACAGTTGTGGTATCAGGTGATTCAGTAGATGTTGACGGAAATTTAGCTGAGGATGTAGTTTGTGATTCTGTTGTGTTTGCATGTGATTCAGTACTCCCCGTCGCTGTGATGGTAACAGTAGTAGTCGGAGGGCAAGCGTACTGGTAAGACCAATCGCAGGTACCATCAACTGGACTGAAGTTGAGACCTGCTGCACAAGATGCTTCTACAAGCATACCGTTCGAGCATGTAAGGTATAGGGTACAGTTTCCGGACGGATGCACGTAGCTCTGTCCATGTGTGCATGTTGTTGTGGACGTGACTCCTGGTGTAGTAGGTGTAACTGTCCGAGGAGTGGTGCTACCTGTCCCTGTATACGGTGCCGTGGTGGTGGTTGTTGTGGTGGTCGTAGGGCAAGCATAATCACGGATCCAAACGCAGGCATTTTCATTTGGATTGAAATTGAGTCCTGTCGCACAAGTCGTTTCTGAAAGAATGCCATTCGCACACGTGAGATAGCGGTTACAATCCCCGGACGGATGCACGTAGTTCTGTCCATGTGTGCATGTTGTTGTGGACGTGACTCCTGGTGTAGTAGGAGTAACTGTCCGAGGAGTGGTGCTACCTGTCCCTGTATACGGTGCCGTGGTAGTGGTTGTGGTGGTGGTAGTAGGGCAAGTGTAATCGCTAGGCCAAACGCAACCACTATCATCTGGACGGAAAAAGAGGCCTGCCCCACAGGACTGTTCTAAAAGTATACCATTTGCACAAGAAAGGTATCGGTTACAGTCTCCGGACGGATGAACGTAGCTCTGTCCATGTGTGCATGTCGTTGTGGACGTGACTCCTGGGGTAGTGGGAATTACTGACCGAGGAGTGGTGCTACCTGTCCCTGTATACGGCGCCGCAGTAGTGGTAGTAGTAGTAGTTGTAGGGCAAGCGTACTGGTTGGGCCAAACGCAGCCATGGGTATTAGGATCAAAGTTGAGTCCAGTGATACAATTCTGATCTAGTAGAGAACCGGCGGCACATATAAGGTATTTGGTGCAATCTCCAGACGGATGTGGAAACGTATCGCCATCCGTGCATGGCGTCGCCTGTGTTATATGGTTTGCAGCTGAATTAAAAAAAGAATGAAGAGTCATTGAAATAAAGGGCCATCATATCGTAAGTTTTTTTGTTAAGTGGCTTGACAAACATTCTGCTATGTTATTGGTACTGTTAGATTTGTCTGCTGCCTTTGAAACAGTAGAGCATAATATTTTATTGACATTTCTATAGCAGAGTGTAGGAGTTAGAGATAAGGCCTTAGATCTTTTACGATCCTATCTTATTGGGAGATTGCATGAAGTTAATATAAATGGTGTGCTTTCTGAACTCTCACAGCTTTTATTTGGTGTTCCTCAGGGGAGCGTTCTTTGGCCTCAAAAGTTTTGTGTTTACACGTTACCCCTTGGAGCAATTCTGCGTTATCATAAGATAGGTTACCACTTTTATGCAGATGATACCCAGTTGTACACATCTTGTAACATCCATGATCCATCATTGTCTGTGAACACCATTGTTGACTGCATATCAGATCTCAGAGGTTGGCTCATTTCAAACGATTTGAAGATAAATGATGGAAAAACACAATTTTTAGTCATTACTCAACCCCACAACAAGGGCCTTGCTCACATCCTGCAATTTAAAATTGGAGCAAGTATGGCATTATCCTCCCCCCATGTAAAAAATTTAGGAGTATACTTTGATTCTACACTTTCAATGGACAAGCAGATCTCCAACATCACAAGGTCTTGTTTATTCAACATTCGGAATATTGGCACCATAAGGAAATATCTGAATCAATCATCTGCTGCTACTGGTATACACTCATTGGTAACTTCCAGGTTGGACTATTGCAATTCTTTATTATATGGATGTCCAGATGATAAGATCAAAAGATTACAACGCATCCAGAATATCTCAGCACGGCTTTTAATGCTACAGCCTAGGGATTGCCATATCACTCCAATTTTAAAACAGTTGCACTGGTTACCAGTTAGGGCCAGAATTTTATTTAAGGTTTTAGTTTTTACACATGCTGCTTTTTGTAACCTAGCTCCAACTTATATAATCGGTCTAGTCAAACATTATAACCCTCAAAGATCCCTGAGGTCTGGTGACAAACCGTTACTAAAAGTTCCCAAATCAAAGTTAAAAACATATGGTGACATTGCACTTTGTGTACCAGTAGAATGGAATAAGTTACCAATTTTTATTAGACGAATAGAATCACAAGAATCTTTTAAAAAGGAATTGAAAACTCACATTTTTAAGACATTTTATTCATGAATTTTAAATTTTACATTAAAGAAACCTTGGGTTTTTTACTTTTAATTACTGTTTATTACAATTTCTTCTAGCTCTGATTTATATAATATATATCTTAACCATTTTTATCTATAAACTTCTTTGTATTTTATGTTGTACAGTCTATTGAACATTTTATGGATTTTAGACTTGAAATAAATATATTATTATATTATTATAGTAATGCAAGACATTTTCCTTGAATATGTGTATGTTTGCGGGTTGAAATACAAACAAGCAGATGTCATTAAGAATCATGGGTGAATCAAGGTATTTCGAAGGACAAAAAATGAACGGAATTTTTTCACATCTGCTCTTAGCACTAACAAAAAGGGGTTATGAGGAGAAAGGAAGAAGCAAAAGCTAGAGATCAGATATTTGTGTTGGATTTACTATTTGAAGTTTTCTTTTCATTTTGGCTCATAGACTTTAAGTATATTTTATCATATGCTGCCGTCTTTCATGTTAAAGTGTGCTTGAGATCGTCCTATTGATATTCACCTTAACAAACAAGGTAAAATCTTGTTCAAAGACAACTAACTACACCGTTTCATATAAATAAAAAACAGTAACATATATAGATAAAGATAGCTCGGACAGCCGAACTTAAATATATGTATGTACAGTACCGCAAACCAAGGAGTTATAACTCCTTGCGCAAACTATAAACAGCTGAACGTGTCTGTCATCACAGTTAAGTTCAATATTTACCACTGACAACAATCTGATGTTACGAAAGGTTTATTTATATTTCCCAAAATTAGAATTTAGAAAACGTCAATGCGTTAAGGATTTCCTTTATTTGTATAACGACTGATTTTTATTGTTACAAAATGTATTGAATTTGTTATTGTTCCAAAGATTATAAAATCTAAGGTAGATTTTGTTTCTCATACCGGGGTGTGTAACGTACTGCGTGAAGAGGTTTGATGCTGTAAGTCTCCGAAGATGCAGAAGCATTATGTACAGCATAACTGAACTTGAAGATGTATCTGTCGCTCAAAATGAATATTGGATCTAAATTAACAAAATGACGACAATGACAATGCCTGCCGGTGTTTACCGTCTGGCTATTTTATTTAATATACTTTTCCGTGTCTCGCGAAAAATGTTGTGCAGATTTTGTTTAGTATAGGTATTAGACGGTATATTCATCAGGCTTTACTAAAAACGACATTCATTTTGCGTTCCCAGTAACAATTTTTGATACAGCTTATGAAAACTTCCCCCACTATGTTAAGAGCGTGTTTCGTTGTGTTTGATATGTAAGACAAATATACCTTAATAAACTATAATGTCACCGAATTGAAACGGAATTATCTACCTTAATTATATGTGAACGGGGCATTCAGACAATTATTTGTGATTGGTTATAGCATATTAAGATCAATACAGTAAATATTACCCCTACCTTGGTAGATTTACAAAACAGGAAAACGGGATATCCGATGTGACCATGCCGTTTGTTTTACTTCAATTAAGCCTAGATTACATTTAAAATGCGATGCCCGTACGGTGTACGTATACTGCCCGTAATACCCTTTTCGTTTGGTGTCTGAGCGGAGGTGGCCACATAATGTAGACATACTCGGCGTAACCCGTAGCTCCTTGCGATTAAAAAAAAATCGCACTGACAATTTCATCGCACGGCGCCCGTGTAAATGTAATCTAGGCTTTTAATTGTATTCTACCGCTTTTTTCAACAAGAAGCAAACATATTGTTGCCCTGTTAAAATTTCCTACTAATAAATAAATCATAAAAATAATTGAAAAAACAATTAACCAAAGTCTGTTCAACGTGAGGTCCTGGGCACGGTGTGAGATACATAGTCAACCTATTTAAGCGCCATTTTTGTTTCTCCACCTTACATTTTATCTAACCTACCAAGTAAGTACACAAGAGTTAGTTGTCTAATATACTGTGCAATTGGTTTTCTGGACATTAATGCTTATTTATTTATTTATATTTTTGAAGATGTTATGGTTCCTCATTTTTTCATTTTAATACAGCAATAAATCAATAAACATAAAAATATGTTTACAATTACTGGCAGAACTAAATGGTATACGTGTAGTTGAAAACTTAGTTTGCACAGTAACACTGCGGTTTAATTTCCTAAAATAAATTAATCGCCCACCCTGTAATTAACTCTTATCGGCTCAAATTTATTTTGTGTAAATATTGAAATAAAAATAACGTTGTATGCATGACTGGCGTGTAACATTAACTCGTGGCGGTTAGCAGAATCTGCAGCGCTGTGAGCAAGACCCCAACTAAGCCTGTGCATTTCAAGTTTAATTCTAAAAAAATCGTGATGAGATATCTTTATTGTGTGTAACATTTTAATTTGTAGAAATAAATAAATAAAGTAAACAATTTTGTTTAAAATCACTAGTAGCACTATCATTGGTTAGTTTTATTGTGCATTATGTTCGTGTCCTGTCCAGGGCACAAATACTAAATCAGTTAAAATCGTGAGTCTGTGGTTTGAGTAAACCAGATTCCCCAGAATAACTCTTTTCAGATAAGATTGTATAAACAAGGAAATAAGAATACCAAACTATATATAACTGTTTTCGAACGTTGGTTCACGGCATAAGCGGATTCTGCAGTGCTGTGAGCTGAATTCAGTTATTGCTAATTTTGTTTGGATCCGATGATGGGCAAAGTACTGAACGTCGTGCTTCTCTATGTGGCTTGCACTGCCCTTATGGGGTTGCTGATTTGTGATGAAGCAGTGGGAGGTAAAATATATTTTATTTATTTAGTTTATACACTTTACATAGGCTGTAAAAGGTTAACTTGCAGTGACCTAAGATACAAGTAATGCAGTACAATATGAAATGTATTGTTAGGTTTTGGCAAGTTTGTTCAAATTCAATTATTTAAAAATTAAAACAACTGTAAAATGTGTATAATGTGTATGATAAACTTGGCAGTTTATTGACATTGCTGCTTACAAGGAAAAATTGACCGTCAAATTTAGTTTAAATAAGGTTACCTTATGCAGCAGTATTATAAATTTGGCAGTTAGGCTAATTATTGACATTGCTATTCACAGATGAAATTTCGACAGTCAAATTTTGTTTAAATCAGCTTACCTCACGCAACAAAAGTAAGCATTCCTCTTCATGAGAACAGAAAATTATCATAAACATTTCGACTTGATGACTTGTAAATGGCATATTATACGAAATATCAGTCAATTATAACAAAGTTTAAAAAATGAGCGATCCATTAAAATAATTCTGATAATATGTACATAAAAAGATGTTGTGCGATGTGCCATCAGGGCACATTTTCTTTTACGACAACCAAAATGTTACATTTGTCTGACGAAGCTAAAATGAAAGTAGGGACATGTATGAATGCTACAGGTAATTTTTTTGTTTTTTTTTCGTATGTGTTTAAAAACAACAATTTCAGAATTGGTTCTTCGTCAGAAAAATTAATCATTTCACCGCGAATCGTGCGTTTGTCTCAGTACTGGCGCAGGATAAGAGCAAAATTTGACTATGAACGGACCTTTTCACAGCCGAAGGGTGGTTCCAACCCTCGAGAGTCTCCCCCTCCCCCGTTCAGGGCAAAAAAATGTGACATCATCCTTTCTGATTGCTTCCTCCCGTTTATGTTTGAAATAACAATTTCACAATAAGTTCTTTTTCAGAAAAGTTTACCATTTCACTAGCGCGAATCGTGCGTTTGTCTCAGTACTGTCGTAGGATAAGAGCAAAATTTGACTATTAGTGAACCTTTTCCCAGCCGAAGGTGTGGCTCCAACCCCCGAGAGTCTCCCCCCTCCACTCCCCACCCCACCCCAACCCCAGTTCAGGGCAAAAAAAAAAAAGTGATTTCATCATTTGCTGATAGTTGTCGTTCTACACGAGACCGTATGAATCACTTACCTGCCAAGGTCAACACTGAAGCCAGCCATGTTAACAGTTGAATCCAATGTCCCTTCAAAGCCATGTCACTGGCCGTCCTGGACGCCTATTCCATATTGGAGTTGCCTTTTTGTGTTTTCAAATTACGCTTCTTTCACAAAAGAAGCTAATTCTACTTCCTTCATCTTATGTTTTTTAATTCGTGTATTTTACTGCTCATCGTTAGGCAGCCATTAAAGACGCTCGTCACCCATCAGGAAGCTTATTTAGTTGACTGCTGCTCTCAACACGTCTGTACCAACGCTACACAGGGCATACAGCACAATGCACGACCTCGATTCTCCGTTTGGCTATTGTGATGCAAACCAATGCTTTGTTTGGTTTTCTTTCTATTTGCAACTGGTTCCCTCACAATAGTAAAACAAACATCAACGTTCCATTTTTATTCTGAATAGGCGTCTAGTATCGCGTTAAATATGATTTATGGTAAATCCTAAACATCTTTTTCGATGATTATAATATCTCGCATGTTAAAAAGCAGGTGTCAAATTATGTCTTTGCGCAGTGAGTTACTAATCTTTTCACATATAATTTAGGGTCTATTGATTCTTACCGGCGGTCTTCCAGGAAGATGGTGAAAGAAAACAATTCACATTGCGCGTTTTCTATTCATTGTGTATTGACCTTAACTAATTATCAATAGAACTAAAAATATTGTGAGAGTGTACCAATTCCCTGAGTTATCAGAAAAGGTAAGGCATTGTACACAGTGCGTGAGATTTGTTAAGAGCCTCCGCCTTTCACCATGTATTACAGGCCGCAGGGAGAGCTAATATGGCATTATTTAATAAACTCGTTTGTTGCTATGCAAACAAGTCTGAGAACCAGTTATTTGAAATACTTTTAGTATGCACCCCCCTCTCTTTCTGTCCACGTGTATGTATTTCTTTCTTTTTTCACAATTTCTGTAAAGTATAAAGGGCGTATTTTTCTGTTATGTAAAAATTTTATAGCCCCTCTCTCTCTCTCTCTCTCTCTCTCTGCATGTTTGTATATATGTATTTTTATATTTGCATTGAAATAAGGCATTTTTTGGTTAAATGAAAAATTGCTTTGATATCTGATGAAAAAATGAAATGGATACTATTTTTCTGTTAAAGGTCGTTCTTCATTAAGGGCCCTTTTACGAGGCAAATTCAAGATGTCTTCAGCAAGCGATGACTCCCTTTTTTCTTATGTTTTCTTTCTCCTCTGTAAATCCGCAAACAAAAATTACCCATGTGCTCCCACCTACTAGACAAATAAAATGCAGGGTCGACTTGTGCTGCCGCCTATCATTTAAAAGATTTTACATTTCACATGAATCAGACTAAGATGTTTTCTTTTAAATTTTAGCTAAAACCTATCAAATTGCTATACATTTAGATACTTTGTGATTTTTTTTTTTTTTTTTTTTGTGACATACTGTTGATTCATTTTAATTTTTGGAATAACTTTTTAATTTTATCCACCCTTACAAATAAGTCGGTAACGATTTTGTTTCAAGGATATTTTCTTCATATATATGCAAGTGAATGTATATGTATCGCGATTTTTAAGACTGTCAGAAAATATGTCAGGGATCCGCCCCTAATATTCACAGATATTTATTTGCCTATTCACTTGCTGTGTATATTTCTGCCATCACCCCGCCGGTCTGTGATACAAGAGTCCTTACAATCTCACACCCACGTTACTCGCTAACGCCGGTGTAACGTGACAGAGAGTCCGCTTCCCATTCATTTGTACAGGTGAGCCTCGCCCTAGATTTTGACCCACATAGGTCAGACTAACCCTAACCATTATAACTATATAGAGGGCGGACTTTCTGTTACACGGACCCTCAGTTTCGTTACACCGGCCTTCAATTTAACGAAAAAGCACAAGAATCATTACTCAAGAAGCTGACACATTTTATTTTCAAAGTCAAGGTCAAGGTGCAAGGAAAGAATTAATGATATACTTGGATAAAAATGTATTACAAACAAGATAAAGATAAAAAGCCAATTAACTATTATTTTTTAACATTTTCATATGATTGGAAAATTTGAAAAAGTGCTTTCAAACATTTCTTCGGAAACAGGTAGCAACCAAGGTCCATCACTGGAGGACCGAAACGTCGTTTGACCGCTGCTATTTAGTGTCTAAGTAAAGAATAACTCTGCTTTATCATATTTTTTTCCAACAGAGACTACGGAAAACTTCTTCCATAGGCCCTTGCCCATTTTCGTAAATACACGTATGATGGCTGATAAATAAGTTGCCAGTTAGTCAAAAATATTGCCTGGTAGACTTTATCTTAAACCCTGCGGAGCACAGCATAATGGCACTTCGTCAAAGGCATTGTTTCAGTACCTCAAGTAAAACAGTAATGGTGTAAAGAAACCAAGAGAATTTTGAAAGTGAGCCAGTGGAGATAATTGGAGGCTCTGTTGTGGTTGTTGATGATATAGTCCTAGTTTTTATTGATTCAATTACAGTCGTTTGTGATTCTGTCATGGTCGTTGGTGATTCAGTTGTGGTTGTACCGGTAGCTTTTGTGTTTATGGGTGGCTCCAAAATGGATGGGGATGATAGCCATGGGGTTGAAGGTGATACACTTGATGTCGTAATTGATTCAGTTGTGATTATTGTGGTTTCAGTTGGTAGGCCTATTGTTGGTGATTCAGTTCTGGTTGTTGGTGATTTAATCGGGGTTGTACGCGATTCAGCTGTGCTTGTTTGAGATTTACTTGAAGTTGTTTGTAATTCAGATATGGTTGTTGGTGATTTAGCAGTAGTTGTTGGTGATTTAGTTGTGGTTGTTGGTGATTTAGTAGTGGTTGTTGGTGATCCAGCTGTGGTTTTAAATAATTCATTTGTGGTTGTTGGTGAATCAGTTGTGGTTGTTGGTACTTCAGTTGTGGTTGTTGGTGATTCAGTTGTGGTTGTTGGTGACTTAGTTGTAGTTGTTGGTGATTCTGTTGAGGTTCCTGGTGATTCTGTAGTGGTTGTTGGTGTTTCAGTTGAGGTTGCTGGTAATTCNGATCTTTCAGATTTTGTTTACATTAAGGGTCTATTGATTCCTCCCCAGTGGCCTTCTTGGATGAAGGTGAAATATAAAAAAAACATTTAATCACTGTCTATCGTTCAAATTTAGCTGCATTACTAATTATCAATACTAGTAGTTGAAAACTCCATAAACGTGTACGCTGAACCGAGTTATTTTTAAGAGTGTATGCAATGTCCAGAGGAGATACATGTATACTTTTTATACCAATTTTAAGAGTTTTCTGCCTTCGTCAGCCAGTTCAGGTGGCTGGAAGAGGGCACATAAGTACACTCTTTAAACAAACCCGAGGTCCAGTAAAATATAGCACTAGTAATCTCTATAGTTATATTTTGATCTCTCTCTCTCTCTCTCTCCCGCACAATTTCCTCAACATTGCTTTTCTTTGCACAACTGTCACATTTCAAATAACATAAAAATATTTTTGAGTACTGGTAATAATTTTGTTTTTTACAAGATCAAAACCAGCATTTGAGTTCTTTGAGCTGCCTCTCTAGGCGTATTTCCCCTTGAATTGTTTTGTAAGCTTTTATGCTTGGAGACTGGGGACAGCCCTCCAAAACGACATTATCGGCGCATAGAAATCCCTGACGTCTCAGATTATTTTCTAGTATTTACCGATTGTTACTCTAATCTGCTCATGTACAAACCTTTCTCTTTACTGAAATAAGTGAAACCTCTGCACTTCTTCCCGTATTTGTTAAAGGTGTTGTTGAAAGAACGCGTTGTGTCTTTAGGATAAAATTATAGGCCACAGAAAGAAAGGTGGAGTTTGGGCGTAAAAATTTTGCAGTAGGTATAATTCTTTTTCTTTAAGCTGTGAGTTTAATATTCATTGCACGTCTACAATGTCCGTTGTATCAGCGAATGCGCACAATCTTAACGTTATATATATAAAACGAAACGAAAGGGCGGAAATGTCAACACTTATCTTTCTTGATTATTGGATTTAATAGTCAACTGTTAATAATTGTAGCTTCTCGAAAAATGTTTGACGGTCAAAACGAAGAGAGGCTATGAATCTGAATAAAGAATGAAAGGAACATTTTGCTCAAAATAGTATTTTTAAACATCGTGTGTTCTGTGCCATATAATTAATTGATCGTTTCAAAAGAATTAGATATTTACTAAAACACATCATCGAACTGCTGTTGTAGATACCTTTTGAATGCATTGCTTTTAACAATATTACAATTTCGTTTTATCTTTTAGAAATTTTCAAATTACTCTCTACTGATATCTAGCCTAACATATCAGTAACAATTTTGTATTTTTTCTATTAATTTATTTGATTTAAGTTATTGGAGTCTGGCCTTTATTGCATAAACAAAATACAGTAAAAAGTAAAAAGCTAATAATTTATTTAATTGTCACTGTGGTAACATATATGTGTACTCCAACACAAATGAACAGATAATACTACATAAACATAAATGCTCTTTGCAACCCCACAAATGAAAATATTTGCACTATTTGTTTTGATATTTATATTTATGATATAACATTACGTAACTTTAACTAATTAACATTATCTAATGCCATATAATATCTAACACCATTCTTTACTAGAGGGACCTTTCAATAAAAGCGGCCGCTACCGGCCAAACTTCGAACACTATATCTGTGTTTGTCATTTACTTATCCTTTCGCTTGGGTTAATGAGAAGACATAAATATTCGTTACGCACACATACAGGTATATTGTACTTATCAAACAATCTTTTTACACAACACAATATTTTTACCTTTCTTCATAATTTTTACAAAAATACTTTTAATATAATGTGGTTACACTCAAATGTTTAACTGCAGCAGGCAGAACAATAATAGCGTAAACAAACCAAGAGAATGTTGAAAGAGAGCGCCGGTTGAGGTTATTGGTGTAGTAATCGTAAGACAAGAGTACTGGCTGGGCAAAACGCAGATATTTTCATACGGATTGAAATTAAGACCCGTCGAACATGATTTCTCTAAAATCATGCCGTTCGAGCATGTAAGATAGCGGTTACAGTCGCCATACGGATGCACGTAGCTCTGTCCGTCGCGTGTACATGTTGTTGTGGAAGGGACTCCTGGTGTAGTAGGGGTAACTGTCCGAGGGGTGGTGCTACCTGTCCCTGTATAAGGCGCCGTGGTAGTGGTTGGCACGGTGTCTGTCCATGTATATGGAACCGTGGAAGTGGTTGCTAAGGCACCTGTTTTTGTATACGAAATCGCTTTAGTGGTTGAACTGGTGGTCGCAGAACAAGCGTACTGACTGGGCCAAACGCAGTCACTCTCATCTGGACTGAAATTGAGGCCGGCTGGACACGCTGTTTCCAATAGTATACCGTCCGAACACGAAAGATATCGGGTACAGTTTCCGGACGGATGTACGTAGTTCTGTCCATGTGTGCATGATGTTGTCGACGTGACTCCTGAGGAAGTAGGCGTCCCTGTCCCTGAAACCATGGCGATGGTTGTTGTGGTGGTCGTAGGGCAAGTGTACTGGTGGGGCCAAACGCAGATACCATCAACTGGACTGAAGTTTAGACCCGTTGCACATGGCGTTTCTATAAGTATATCGTTCGTACATGTAAGATATAGGGTACAGTCTCCGGACGGATGCACGTAGTTCTGTCCATGTGAGCATGTTGTGGTCGACGTGACTCCTGGGGTAGTAGGAGTACCTGTCCCTGTATATAGTTCCGTGGTAGTGGTGGTCGTAGGGCAAGTATAATCGCTAGGCCAAACGCAGCTATTATCATCTGGACGGAAAAAGAGGCCTGCCCCACAGGACTGTTCTAAAAGTATGCCGTTCGCACAAGAAAGATATCGGTTACAATCCCCGGACGGATGCACGTAGTATTGTCCATTTGTACATGTTGTTGTGGAAGGGACTCCTGGGGTAGTAGGAGTAACTGTCCGAGGAGTGGTGCTACCTGTCCCTGTATACGGTGCCGTGGTAGTGGTTGTAGTAGTAGTCGTAGGGCAAGCGTACTGGCTGGGCCAAACGCAGCCATGGGTATTAGGATCAAAGTTAAAATCGGTGACACAATTCTGGTCTAGTAGAGAACCGCTGGCACATACTAGGTATTTGTTGCAATCTCCAGACGGATGTGGAAACGTGTCGCCAGCCGTGCATGGCGTTGCCTGTGTTGCGTGGTTTGCAGCTGAATTAAAAAAGAATGAAGAGTAGCTGGAACAAAGGACCACTGTTTGATGCTCTTGTTTGACTTGTGCAACTCAACCCAAAATGGCGCAAAGGCTGTCCCTCAAGCGTAACGGAACTGGTGTCACGAAAATACTTCTAACAACAAGCTGTTGGGCATATATATATTCCAAATTAGTGAGCAGAAGCACAACAAATAAAGAATATATTATTTTTTTCTTTTTAACAATATTACCAAGTATAGCTGTCAAAATTGAATTGAGTTGAAAGACACTGCCTCCCCTTCAAAGTAATGCCCTACGAATCTAATGCACTATTTCATCGTCTTTGACACACTTTTATGCACAGCGGGAGGAGTTTTTCTGTTTGTAGTATCCCTCTCAAGCCCCTTCATTCTCCCGCTCTTGCTAGCCCCCAGGCCTTCACCCCCCCCCCCCTTGATAACCCCCTCTAACTTGTGGAAAAGAAAAAGGCATACAGAGCAAAACCAGGTGAACAACGAAGTAGAAAATACTGATTAATGTTTAACATAGGACCGAGGCGTTTAGTAGATGCTAAAGTGTTGTGATCTGAACGCAAACGCATTTCTTTAAAAACGGTTTTGTTATTGTCACATACTTTTTAACCAATAAATAAATAACATTAATGGAAATAATGACCAGCAGCAATATGGTTCGTGATTTTTTTGTTCATTAATTGTGCTAGTGCCCTGTCAGGGATTTGGACAAAGTGAAAAGCGTGATTCTGTGGGTTTATTCAAGAATATGTCCGATTAACACGCCTCCTCTTATTTCCAACCTACTCGTATAATCACCAGCTTTTATGTTATCTGCAGAGGAGGCGAGGTAATCTGATTGCATTCAGTCAGAGTCCCCGCGGAGTTGGATCGATTTACTTAGAATCATAATTTAATTGGGAATGAGCCCCATGATTCATCCTGTAATTTTCTACTTTCAAATCAAATTATATTTTGTAAATGAGGATATTACAGTGCTGATTTACTCGTATATATAACTGACGTTAACACTGTTTTTAATAGATCCTGCACTGCTTTGAGCTGAATCCAAGCTACAGTAATTTTAAAGCGATATACAGTATGCTGGGTAAAGTTGTGAAAGTGACATCTCTCTATGTAGCCTGCATTGCACTTATGGGAGTATTGAGTTGTGATGAAGCAGCGGGAGGTAAGACTTGAAATCATTCATTAGTAACTTTATTTATCTATTTATTTATTCATTTATATATTTAATGAAAGCTTTGGGCAATCCAATCCAATTGTTTAGCTTTGATAATTTTGTTCTATTCTGTTCTCACATCTAGCAATTAGACATTTTGAGGCCTGTTATTTATTTAACTGGGTATCAATCAATATCTCCATCTATCTTTTCATGAAAATGTGTAAACACTGAATTTCAACAACCTTCTTATTTAACTTGAACATGTGAGCCTTGTCTAGACGGTGCTCAATATCATACTACTGTGGGCGTGGTGCCTGCCTGGTGGTGCCTGCTTTGCAATGTGTCAAGATCCCGGAAACATCTCTGAATGCACCAACTTTTGGATTTGAATCGAAATATGTATATTAACATGCAAACACGTTAATAACTTCTCTGTTTTTGTGTAGAAGCCTGCAGCACATCCCAGTACCAAGTTGCGTACAACTACCGGGACGAACTCGCCCAGTCAACTTGCACTGCTATGAGTGGCCGGAGTGGATGGGTGTTTGCAGTGCGCAGGACGTGCAGTAGCGACGCGCCAACTTGCGCAGAAATCTGTGGAAGCAGCGCCCTCTCTGCACAAGATGGCCAAGTCAGCAGAGGAGGGTAAGAATTGCCCATGCAATTTTAGATATAATGGAGTCGGTTGTGTTTCTTAGTTGATAATTTTAACTTTAAGATCTTTTATTTCATAACTGTTCTTTATCCAACTTGAAAGCATAACGACCTTTACCTTTAAAATTTCCTATGGTTGACACTGCATTTACGCTACATTAGATAGATCCGTAATATACGTGTATATATAATCTGTCCCAAACCTCCTGTGCAGAAGAGATGCAAATTATATCTCGTATATATCACTACTGAGATGTTTTGTCAAACACAAGTCGATTAATTTTTTATTCCTTTTTTTTTTTGGGGGGGGGGGGTTATTTTATTGCTATCACCTCGTGGGGTTCTTCACTTCCTCTCATTATTCACAATACTAATAGAGTCTTTTCCACGAAATCGTGAGCATGCGCAGTTCGCGCCATTTTGTGCGGGACTGTTTCTCAGGGGGAAAGAGTAGAAGGGGCCTTCGGTACTTTTGT